GACGAAGAAAGAAGAAAAATTTAGAAAAAATAACAAAAATAAGACAAGAGAAAGAGAAAGGAAAGGAAAGACAGAAAGGAAGATCGGAAGATCAAACTCATCAAAGTAAGGGTTTATATAAAAAACAAAAAACGTATCATAACAAAACAATAAACAATCATGTGATCTCGTGTTATGATACGGAATTTTTGTAAAATTATCTTCTAAAAATATTAAGTTTAAAAATTCCGTATACATTCCATTCCGCATGATTAATTTTTTCCGTATACATTTCTTATACATTAGTTTTTTAAAAAAATGTTCAAAAATGAATTACTTATTAAATATACGGAATCTATAGAAACGTACATAAAATGTATACAAAACGTATCCTTTCCGTATACATATTTTTTATAGGGGGATAGATTTACGAAAATTTCTAATCTAGTTAAGTAATTGAAAGCTTAAGTATTGCCTTAAATAATATTCGAGATTCTCTTTTTGATTAATAGTAAATACTAAATGCTCTTGTTGTTCCGAATTTTGAAGTTCAAATCCAAGAAAATTTTTGTTTAAACAATTATCAATTAAAAGTTGGGAAACGATTTCGCATGATACCTGATAAAATCTGGCGTCATGTTGTTGCCGATAGTAGAAAATACATTCATTTTCGTTAGATTGAATGTTATTTTCTTTTATATGTTTATTTATTAAATATTCAACGGTATCGAGACAGATCTCCTTACAATTAACGTAATAACGACATAAATCATTCGGTGGTCGATAAAAAAAGGTGGTAGGATGGAAAAGTATATTGGTAAGTTGATAAGTTTGCGTTTTAGGATGAACGGTATCCGCAGAAGTCATGTTAAGAGTGTTTGCAGATGTAAGATTCTGTTGCGGCGAGACAGTAAAGATGTTGTAATTATTGGAGTTCGGATAAATAGCGTTAAACGGAGGTAGTTGGTTATTTTGATTCATGCTGGATCGAGTATTTTTTCTAAACAAAGGGAATTAATTAAAAAAATAAAAAGATCGTGATATTAGAAACTATTGTATAAACTGTACACTGTGAAAGAACACACTATTAAAAAATCTTACTTCACAAAATGGTTTCTTTTAATTGAACGAAAAGCTTTAAGTTGAGAAAAAAAAAGATTTCTCTTGCAATCTTTTATATAAGTTTTTGAATATTTTGGCGATCGCATACTACTTTGATCAATTTCCTAATTGAGTTGTGCTGCAATGAGCTTTGAAGGATAACCACCGTTGCAAATAGAATGAAGTTATCTTGTTTTTATATGCGTACTTTTTGAATTATACAATTGGAATACAAATTTAATAAACTGAATACATCCTTTATAAAAATATCTGCGTTACCAAAATTATAAATCACATATAGCATTTGATGATAATAATAATTCTGGTCAAATTATGACCTTGTTACATATTATGTATTGAAGTTTATGTATCATCTTTTGAATAGTGAAGAGTTAACATGTAGATGTGAAGATAAATACGTTTGGATGTTCTTTAATTTATTTGATCACATGTAATACAGAGTCACAGATCACGTAATAATGGATAGAAAAGGACAAGTTAATATTTAATTACAGCACCATATAAATAATCATTATTTATTTAATTTATTTATAATACTTTATTGCAAAAAGCATATAAATAAAATAATGTGTATAATTTTATTTACTCTTATAAAGAATTCGTCGCGGTGGTACGGTTACGCCCTGATTTGCGCCAACCATTAGTACTCCCCCTTCGTAGGGTTTCCTTAGAAAGGGTTCTCAGTCAGTCTTTCCAGACAATTTATTAAATTTTTTTTTTTATCTATTTTTTGTAAGTTTTATTGAACATTTACGCACAGTAACTTAACAAAAGTTACTTTAACCATTATAATTTATCAAATAATAGTTATTTTTTATTTTTACGTATTTTTTACTTTTGTTAATATTTAATATTTTAATTTTCGGTTAAAAGGTAAATAACATACTTAAAAAAAAAAAATTATTATTATCTTTATCTTTGAAAAAAAACAATTTCCGTCAGTTTCTACTATAAGCTTTCATTTCGGAGATTTCAAAGACTACAATTCCGATGATTAAAAGTTGGCTTAAAAAAAATTTTATTAATTGTAAGCAATTGTAAACAATTATAATATTAATAAACCTAAATAAAGCATTGTATAAATAAACTAATTTAAAGTATATAATAAATAAGATAGTTATATATTAAATACTTCATTAATTAAAAGAATATAGTATATACAATATTATAAAATTTTTATGTCATTTTCACATTTTATTTTATCCAATAGGAAATTTTTCTTTTTACCACGGTTCAGGAACAATTGCTGTGCCGTTACATATGATTTTGTGGTTCTTACAAATAAATAAATAAATAAAATCTTGGCACAAAAAAAAAAAACATTCTATTGATTCTAGAAACATATAGAATACTTATTTTTAATATATATTTACGAACGATTTCGGTTATTCCGGTTATTATAAACGATATTATTTTATTTATACTTTTTTTTATTTATTTTATGAATTTCCATTGATATTCACTGCGCCAGAGAAATGTTTCATGGAATTCTTATGATCATCGAATTCATCGAATGTTCTTTAATATGCATGGAAAAATTTTTTTCATACTTATATGATCTTCATTTTGCTTTTATGAGAAATTTCCACCGAAATTCTCGGAGTGACTTTGAAGATTACTCCGATAATTTGCCATAATAATATGATTAAGTAATACAGTAAAAGCAAATAAAAGCGTTAATTAACATACAAAAATTATTATATCATATGGTCCTTTTAAATTTAAAAGGAATTTAAAATTTTTTTTTTTTTTTTTTTTTTTTTTTTATGTGTAGAGGATTCTTCTTTTTTTTTGTGTATACAGATACAGTGTGTGTTTAAGGGATTAATATTTTTGCCGATTTTTCTTTTCCTTTAATTTAATAAATTAATCCGACCAAATATATTCTTATTTGAGTTCATTAAACTATTTTAATAAAAAAAAAGAACCTTTCGATTTGAACATTCTTTTTTTTTTAAATAAAAAGTAACTTTCAAAAAATCCAAAAAAATAAATCCATTTTCTATACTTTTTTACTAAAATGATACACAAACTAGAGCGCATGGTTCCTTTATTAAGAATTATAAAAATTTATATTTTGTAAATTATAAATATATAATATATAATATATATTTATTATATATTTTATGAAGTATGATATATAAAATTTCGATAATAAAAAACTTTTTTAATAACGGTTAACTGCGCAAGCAATCACAAGTGATCACAAGTGATCATCACCGATAAAACGTATATATAAAGGTCCAAATTTAACAACTCAACAAACAACAATTTTTTACTCTTTTTTTTTTAACAAATATATTATATTGTACGTAATAACTCTCGTGTAAAAAAATTTACACCCTCTATACACGCATATATACTGTATATATATACTGTATATACATAAAATCAAATTGATATCAATAAATTTCTAAATTTTTTTAAATCTCTCTCTTTTTCATTTTTTTATTTGTCTTTTTTCTTTTCAACTGATAAATCAAGTCTGGAATATGTACCCAACTTATACGCAAATCCGTTCAAACATTGAAACCTTCCAAAATGATAGAATTACACCTTATTCTGATGATATTGAACGAATGGAAAATTTGACGAATTTAAATGTAAATAATTATAATATGACAGCTTCCGAGAACTTCAGTAATACTCAAGATTATAATGTACAAGCTCCAGATTATCAGCAGTCTCATTCATATATTGATGATTCTCATCTTAGAGCGAACCCCGTTTTAAACGTGAATGATTACAATGTGACAGCTCCCCAAGAACGGACCAGCTTCAATGACAGTCGAGTTTATAATGTACAAGCTCCAGTCTATCAGCGGCAGTCTCATTCATACATTAATGATTCTCATTTTAGAGAACAGATCGGCAATGGAAATTACCGAGATTACAATATGCAAACTTCAGCCTATCGGCAATCTCAATCACTCCATTATAATACCGAAAAAGTGAACCCTACCTTAAACATGAATGATAGTCCCCATAAAAAATTTTTATCCGAATATTTCCATTATTTCTCCGTGTCTTCCGTAAAAATTCCGTGAAAATGATACATTCACGGATATCCGTGTTAGCGAGATGAAAATTTCCATGATTTAAGGCTATAAATTCCATGAAAATGATACATTCACGGAAAAAACATGGAAAGATAAAACACGGATCAGATTTTTTACAGTGAGTATTTCTATAAAACGGAATTATCGGGATTATAACGTACAAACTCCATTATATCAATACGCTAATAATCCTCAATTTAATAACGGAATGGATGACGCTTTAAATATAAATGATTACACTGCTATTACCGTTGAACAGACCAGCCATAATAATTACCAAGATTATACCGTACAAGATCCAACTCATCAAATGTTTCATGAGGATAATAGTCAACCTCGCTTTTTCAGTCCAACTAATGATGATTGCGTTTACAAAGTTGAATTTGAAGAGACATCATCCGATATTGTCATAAAAATGTTAAATGATTCATTAATTAACAAAGAAAATTTACAAATTAATGAAAATGAAGTTAATTATTTTACGAAAATAAATATACAAATAGATTTTATAAAATAACATGTAAATTAGTTTCTCCTTACAGTACTATTACATCAGAACAAAAACAGAATCTATACCAATATCTTAATAATCGCTTAATAAATAAATGCTAATTTAGAAGATTTTCTTTTTTTTTTTCTTCGTCATTTCTCTAAGGAACAATTTTTTTTTTATCGATCAAATTTCCGGTTTTAAAATCCGAGAAATTTGGTCGTATATGAATATGAAATAATTATATAGAATAGATTTTCTTAAATGTATATTTTTTAATGTAACTATTATAAATATTAAATAAATATTAAAGTGTAATTAATCGATAAATATAAATATAAATAAAACATGTGATAAATTGGAAAAAAAATTTTTTATTTCCTTATTGAATTTCTTGAGAGAACTTCTTTTACATTACGTGCGTTGATCAATAATTGCTCAGGATCAGCTGTAACGTGCATCGGATAAATTTCACCCCGGCATTATTTTTATTATTTCGGTAAAGTACTCTTAAAATTTTTAAGGAACATAAATAAATTTAGTTAGGTTATTGACAAGCAGGATTTCAATTTTTAATAAATTTAAAATAAATTCTTTTGTTGTCTTACATGAAAAAAATTGTTTATCGTCATCATTTTTTGTTGACGTATATTATAATTACAATTCATTAATTGCAAACTGCTGATATTATCTTATACAATATTTGCATCTAATGAAATATTAAAGACATCTTAGATGACAAAAAATAAACAAATTATCAGTCAGGTAATAACTTCAGTCCACATAACCTATGTAAAGAGGCGGTTAATCGTTCATTCTTTTATAATCGCAAAATGATTCTCGAATTTAGGATATTATTTGTAAAGAAACATTTAAAACTTTTGAAACTTTGCCAAAATTAAAGGATTTATTTAATGTTGTAGAATATATAGAATTTATAAAAAAAACTTAAAGGAAATCTTAAGTTTAACAATACCTTTACAACTTCGACTTATATCACGTGATGCCTCAATCTATCACGTGAATGTTGTGTGGCGCGCATGAATTTTTTATTTTTCCACCGTTAAAAAATATTAATTTTTATTTAAAATCTCGGGAATAATAATAAAAACAATAAATAATAAAAACAATAGTAACAAAAATAAAATATAAAAAAATAAAACAAGTCTAAAAATAATAATAATAAATTTTCATAAACATTTGTTTCACTATTGTTGCTACAAATCGTGAGGTTCTTCACAAAATTAATTTCACAAATTATTTTCATCAATAAAATTATCTTCTTTTGGAGTCAAATAATCAAAAAGAAACTGTTTCAAATGAAACTCCAAATTTTCTTTGTGTCTATCGGAAAATTCCTGGTGTCGTTGTTGTTGTTGTTGCTGTCGATGCTCATCTTGCTTTATTTCGACACCATAAACTAATATTTAAATTTAAATACTGAAGAATAAATGAATGTGGAACCATTTCGCAGGCTATTTGGTAAATTCTTTTATCATTCGGTTGTTGAAAATAGAACACAAAAAGATCATTTGAAAAAAGATAATGAGATGAATATAAGCAATTATTTAATAATAATCGAGATACAATTTCGTCAGAAGTTTTTTCTTTACAGACGACATGATAAATTTGAAAATCGTTGCATGGTCTATAAAAGAATGAGAATTCTGACATAACAACATTTTCTTGATTAATATCAATTTTGTCATCATGTCGTTGAATAGAAGGAGATGTTACATGAGACATATTTTCATTTGATTCTTCAATAGTATCAACATTTGATAAAATATTGAAACTATCATCATCGTGAGAAGTAGGAGTTAAAGAACTTGAGTCGGTCATTTTGCGTTTATAGTGTAAGTTGTTTGAAATATGTATTATTTATCAGGATTTATTTATGATGTATATATTATATATTTCTTTTTACAGACGCTATTATGAGACGTCGTATAAATATCGTTGAGATAGATATGATTATAAAATTTATACGAATACGAATATGATATGTAAATAATCTGATTTGTAACACAAGATTTGTAACAATTTTCATTTCAAAACGAAATAAATTGGCACGTGAAATGTTAGTAAATCACTTTTATGGAAAAAATTCAAATATTAATTACTAAATTTAGCTGTATTATCTGTACTGTAACCTCGTTCACTTTGTGAATAAAAATAAACAAAAATAAATAAATTTAGCTGTATTTGGCGTTTTATTGATATTGACGTTAAAAGTTGGCGTTAAAAGTACTTGATGACGATCCTTCAATTTGAATCGTTACACACAACTCCAAACAAACATTGTTTTTTTTGCAACAGTAAGTTTAATTACAGATAAAAGAAATAGTTAAATCCAAATGTGGTTTACAAAATTTTATCAGTTTAGTAAATTTAAATTGTATTATAAGTTTTATTTTTATTTAGCATTTTATTGTTTTTATGATCATCATTATTAATTTCATGTGAGAAAGGAGCAAATTTGAATAACCTTCTTTTAGGCAAATCTCTTGGAAATTTAGTTTAAAACTAGGGTGGCGTCAGGAATCAAATTGGCACGCCTTCTAATATTTTTTCAGTTAATACTAGCAGTTACCCGTTGCTCCGCACCGGGACCAATGAGTTTGTTTAAATAGAAAATTTCAGTATTATAATGTAATACTAAGTAAATTAAAGACGGTTACAGCAGTTTTTTGTTTATAATTAGGAATTTAATATAGGTAATAATTAGTTATTAAAATTAATAAAATAATGTGTATTAATGGTAAACATCGCCTGCTGGGTCTTCGATCATGTGGCAGATTTAATATTTTTGATTGGCCAGATTGACCACATGATCGCGTCATGTTTATTTATCGAATCTAATTTTCATTATAGGTTGAGGTTCGTTTCCTCGGTTCTTTCGGTCTCGAGGTATTTTCTTTTTCTTTTTTTATTTTTATTTCTAACTTACATTCTTACACTTTGTTTCTTACTAACTCTATTTCATTATTTTTAGGTCTTTTAGTCCTTCCGGTTCTGCAATTAAGGTTAAGTTGTTTTTCACTTTACATTTCGTTTCTTATTTTTTTATGTTTCTGTTTCATATTTCGTTTTTCACTACCCTGTAAAAAAAGTCAATCCGTTTTTTATATTCCATATTTTTTCCGTAAAAGGCTCATATTTCCGGAATTAATAACCTTATATCGCGGAATATATCGAATTATTTACATTTTCCGTGAATGGATCCGTGAAAGGCTCATTTTTACGGAGTTTTTACAGAAATAACGGATAAAAATTTTTATAGGGCTAATTTTATTTCATTTTATTAGATCTATTAGTTCTTTCGGTTCTACAATTAATAAAGATATGTTTTTTATTTTTTATTTATTTTTTTTTATTTTGTTTCTATCTTATATTTCGTTTCTTACTACCTTCATTTTTTTTTACTTTATGGTTTATTTTTTACTTGGTTTCCTATCATTACTTTTTGCTACCTAACCTCCTATTATGATCACTTTTTTATTTTTTGTCTCTCATCATTTTTCACCTCTTATTACTTCTCATTATTTCATTCTTTTCGTCTCCCATTATTTTCTATTACATCTTGTCATTTTCCATTATTTCCTTTACTTTCCTGTTTACTTCCCATCATTTCTTTTTGTCTTATCACTCCTTTTCATCTCCATCACTCCTCTTCATCTTCCATCACTTCTTTTTGTCCCCATCACTCCTTTTCGTCTTCCATTACCCCTCTTCATCTTCTCATTATTCCTCTTCATCTTCCCATCGCTCCTTTTCATCTCCCATCACTCCTCTTCATCTTGCCATCACTCCTCTTCATCTCCCATCATATCCTATTTTTCTTTTTTGTTCCTATCCCTTCTCATTACTCTTTTTACTCCCTTTCATCTTCTATTACTTTTCAGTTTTCATTGTTTCACTGTTATTTCATTTTTTTATTAGCATCTTTTTTCTTGATCATTGTAATTTACTTTTCTTTTATTTGTATCAGTGTATCACTTCATTAAAAAATAAATACAGTGATTTTTTTCTTTAAAATCGTAAATGTGTGATTTAAATTTTAATAATAGCAATTAAAATTTCATTAGATAAGATTATTTTGGATAAATATGTTTGCAAAAAAAATTTTAAAATATCTTTGCGATAAAATTTTTAAGTTTAGCCGATAAAATTAACCAAGTTGAAAAAATCAGCCGTCAGCCGATTTAAGCATTATATATTGTACATCATGTGACATATTTAAAAAAAACTCAGGTGACAATCGCCCAGGCGACGTTTAGCAATTCCCAATCATATTTACAATAATGTACAGTAGCTATTTATATTAATGATTTGACGTTTAAGTGTAGAATGAATTCGGATTAATTAAGGAATTGTGAAAAAATAATTATCAATAAAAATTGATTAAACTTTTTAGAAGTATTTTCGAAAAAACTTTAATATTTATGAAAATACTACAAATATTTTTATATTATTATTAATTAATTATAAATTTTATAATTATTTTCTTATTATTATTTTATATTACGTCAATCTTAAACTCATAACCAACTTAGGAAAAATATTTGAATTAAATGTATTAGAATCTGTTCATTTCATTTATTATTATTCTTTTTGATATTCATTTTACTCATTTTACTCGATAAATTATTAATTTAACTAAACCATTTGAATTAAAATCTATATTCAAAAATTTGGTGATTATTTAGATTTTAGAGAATTTCGGATATGGATTTGGTTATAATAATCTATTTATTAAATCATCAATTTCTTCAATTAATTAATTATAAATATTGTAAAAATATCAATTTTTTTTTATCCAGCGTTCAATTTAATTGAAAATCCTAATCATCTTTCTATCAACGTCGGTCAATCCTCCTGATTTTTTTTTAAAAAAAATAATAATTTTGTAAATATATTTAATACAATATTTTATTTCTTTATTTAATAGTAAAAAAAAAAAATAAAAAAAAAAAAAAAAAAAAAAAAATTCTAAGATAAAGTTTCATTAACTGAAATTGGATTAGTTGATTGGAATGCACATGGATCGAATATAAATAGATCAGGCGGAGGCGCCCTCATGTTATCTTCTTGACCAGCTTATTGTATAATATATTATGCGGGTCAAGAAAGTAAGTGGTACAGGGTCAAGAAAAGAATTTTTGCGGCGGAGGCATGTCACGGGTTTTAATTATGCATGGGATTTCAAGTTATGCAATTCAAACTATTTATACATGCTAGTCTAAACGTTACGGTTACACATTGCTTTATTATCAATTGTCAGCAACATTTCCCTTTCATTAACATTAAGTTTGATACTCTTAAATAAATTATCATCATCTTGTACTTCTTTAAGATCAAATTTTTGATGTAATTATATTTATATCATGTAAAAAAAATATTTTTTTATAGATGTGCCAATTCTATATCATTTGTCCGATTTTTTTAACTTTAAATGGGAAAATTTGATTACATAATCATTAACATTTGAAATCCCATTTTTTTTTTTTATTTAACTGATAATGGTAAAAGAATATAATCTTTTTTTTAAATTAAAAAAAGTAAAAAACAATTTATTTTATTGATATTATTTTATGATAATAAATTTTTTTTTTCGATAGCTTTCATAGTACTTTTTTTTTTATCATATTAAATAAATTATTAATAAATAATCAATTTAACATTTTGTTACGTACATGATTACATACATGATCGTCATTTTTTTCAATATATATTAACCTGCCATCCGTAGAGAAGCTAACTGCGGATTCAATACTTGAAGCTTGAAGCTTGAAGCTTATACTTAACCTACACTTAATATAAAAATGCTGGAAAAGTTTAAGCTATATTTGGGCAATCAAACTAACCATATATTGAATTTCATGGTTAGTACGATCAACAAAATTATTAATATAATGCTACGATTAAAGCTAGACACATTATACAGGCTTTTCGGCATTCTTATCTCCAAGCTAACTAATGATAACATAACTACTCTTTTGGATTTTTTTATAGGGATTGGTAAATAGATAGGTATTAACCAGGAGTGTGGAGTTTTTTTTTTTTTTTTTTTT